CACTAGATCCATGGTGGCGAACCTATGGCACGGGTGCCAGAGGCGGCACTCAGAGCCTTCTCTGTGGGCACGTGCGCCGTTTCCCCAGTCCTAGACCTTCAGCTGGGCTTTATAAAACCTTTTCGCTTTAGGCCTCCGCCGCCATGTGCCAAAAAAAAAAAAATTCAATCAATCAATCAATCAATTTCAACTTCTCGCAGGAAAAAAAAAAGATCTTGCAAAGTTGGAATTTATTGATTTAACTTTTTAGTCCCACCCAGTCTGCCATTACCACCACAGCCACACCCACCCAATGGGCCATGCCCACCCAATGGGCCACATCTACCCAATAGACCACACCCACCCGGCATCCAACGATATATAAGTGGATTTTGGGTTGCAGTTTGGGCACTTGGTCTCTAAAAGGTTCGCCATCACTGCACTAGATCAAACTAACATAGAATGTATATATGCACAGAAAGTATATGTAAGTTTTGCAACTGTAGTAACACTTAGAGAATAATCTCCATCCTATGATTTCTAAGCATTCATTCCAAGCTCTGAAAAAGCCACTAGAACATTGGCTATGCGGGATCCTCTATCCCAGTGATGGCAAACCTTTTAGAGACTGAGTGCCCAAAAACTGGCCCCGTCCCCACTCCACCTCCCTGCTCCGCCCCTGATCTGCCCCCCATCCCCCGCCCCACCTCCTCACAGGACCACTCACTACCTCCAGGGCCCGCTGCAGATTGCCCAGGCAGCTCAGCAGCGCTATAGCGGCCACACCCTCTGCCTGCATCTTGCAGTATCAACTGCATGATGGGGTGTGAGGGCAGAGTCTTGTCTACGCTGCCTGACTGCCATGTCCTTGGCTGTGCTGCTCCATGTGGGCCATGCTCGGGGGCAAATCTCCTCCAGGGGGGCTGCTGGAGAGAAGGGGGTCGCAGGGGGAGGCAAGGCTGGGGCAATGGCATGTGTGCCCACAGAGAGGGCTCCGAGGGCCACTTCTGGCACCTGTGCCATAGGTTCGCCACCACCTCTCTATCCTGTTCATGTATGGATACAGTACATACACAACTTCCCTACACATCACAGCATAGGAATGGGATTAGATATATAGTCAAAGGCAAATAGATCAATGGATGGTCTTAGAAAGAAGGAACGACAGCATCTGCTAGAAAAGCTAGAAAACTAAACACAAAAGAGGAGCGCAGGATCTCAAAGGCTTACTAGAAACAAATAATTTACCGATGATTGGCTAACTCACCTTGCTTTCAGCACACAACATTTTAAAATGTTGTTATTATTATTGATCATCGCACAGTCAGCCAGATGTTTAGACTGGATTTGGCATTTTGTCTACCTATCGAGTCCTTACCCAGGACCTGGGATAGGCAGATGTGGATGTTTGATGGTATTACAGATATTGTCGCAGGATGGAAGCAGTTCCTAGTAAGGCCGCCTTTTGCAATTGACTAATAGCGAATTTGTCCATGCCAATGGTGTTCAAGTGGTGCTCCAGTTGTTTTGGGATTGCACCCAAGGAGCCTATGATTATTGGTACTACCCTTGCTTGCTTTTGCCACAGTCTTTCTATTTCTATTTGTAGGTCTTTGTATTTTGTTATCTTCTCCAGTTCTTTCTCTTCTATTCTGCTGTCTCCAGGCACTGCCACGTCCACTATTCAGACTTTTTTGTCTTTCTTATCCACAATTGTTAAGTCTGGGGTATTATGTTGCAGGTGCTTCTCTGTTTGAATTCTGAAGTCCCAGAGCAGTTTAATTTTATCATTTTCTATGACTTTCTCTATTTTATGATCCCACCAGTTTTTGCTTACAGGCAAATGATATTTTTTGCAGATCTTCCAATGCACCACTGTTGCTACTTTGTCATGCCGCTGCTTGTAATCAGTCTGTGCAATCTTCTTGCAACAGCTTACCAAGTGGTCCACTGTTTCTTCAGCTTCTTTGCATAGGCGGCACTTACTGTCTGTTGCTGTCTTCTCAATTTTGACTTTGTAGGCATTTGTCCTTAAGGCTTGGTCTTGTGCAGCCAGAATTAGTCCCTCGGTCTCTTTCTTCAATTTTCCTGCTCTTAGACATTGCCAGGTTTTATTATTATCTGCTTTCCCAGCTATTTTTTTCATGTATTGGCCATGTAGTGCTTTGTCTTCCATGCCTCTATTCTGTTCTTCATTTGGTCTTTCTTGTAGGCCAGTTTGGTCTCTCCAGTAGTTAGTAAGCCTTCCTGATATACTAATTTCAGTGCATCTTCATCATTGTTCTTCAGATATTCTTCCAAAGCCATTTTTTCTTCTTCAACCATCTGATGTAATTATTATTATTATTATTATTATTATTATTATTATTATTATTATTATTATTTATTATCAAGTAGAGATAAATGTGTGAATGTGGAGGGAAAGCGGGTGATGTTGTAGTGGATATTGGTGATCTAACCATTATTCTTTGGGACTGTATTTTGTAAACTTGCTACTGAGATGGGCTATCACTGCAGGACACTTTGGAAGGAGCAACTCTAAAGAGGATTTGCTGGTTTGGTTGTGGTGATTTAAGGGATTAGGTTTGTCCAAGCCTAGCGGTCTCTCCTTCCCCTCTCCCTTTCCTTCCCCCTCCTCCTCCCCCGCCTCTGAATAACTGTTTTCAACTCCATCAGATGGGTATTGGCACAAGGCATCTCAGAGTTCGAAAAAAAGTCAGAGAAAGTGACTTTTCACTTATTTCAGGATATAGTAGTGTGCGGGTTACCTGGAAGCAAATTGCAACTCATTGTAATGGAACTGAGCATTGAGTAAACATAGCTAGGGTCTATGGGTCAGATGCTTATCCAGATGATAAGCAACTTTTGTCCCTATCTAAATAAGTTCTAAGAAATCCCAAATTAATCTATAAAGTGGCATGTATCATTTCTGCCCATTTCAAAAGATGCTAGCATGACTAAATGTGAGCTGCAGAAATACAGATGGTCATAAGATGGCAGCAAAAAGTTAATTCTTTTTGGATTTCTATGCTGCCATCTAGGGGTTGTTCTAATTCTTACACCCCGGAACTGGTAGCTCTGAATAAGCATTCATTGCCCATTGTTTTCTTGGCATAATTAAGATGTTGTTTTGAACCCTATAATATGGTTTTAATCCTAACTGGACAATAGGATGTCCTGAGGGGTTCCTTTCAGAGATGCCCTTGCTTTTGGAGGGATGTTTATCAATATATGGGAAAAGGTGATTTCTCCAGGGATTTGTTTGATTCCCTCAGGTTAAAAAAGTATGAACACACCCATCTGCAGTAAAATGTTTTGAGTTGCTTTAAGATGATCATTATATCAGTGCTGCTTCTGTTATCTTTTAAATTATTATTGTTGTGTTAATTTCTTGCTTTCATCCTATTTTCCTGGATTGGCTAGCTATTTTCAGTGTGCAGCTTAGAGCAAACAGTGGGCTGTAGATTAAATGTAACCAAATCAATAACGTTAGGAAGCCATGGTGCGCAGTGGTTAGAACGCAGTGTTGCAGGTGGACTCTGTCACCTGCCGGGAGTTCGATCCTGACCCGCTCAAGGTTGACTCAGCCTTCCATCCTTCCAAGGTCGGTAAAATGAAGATCCAGATTGTTGAGGGCAATATGCTGACTCTGTAAACTGTCTAGAGAGGGCTGTAAAGCCTTATGAAGTGGTATGTAAGTCTAAGTGCTGCTGCTATTAAAGGAGAAAGATTAATCCCTGCATTCAATTATTCCTGTCTGATTCTGAAAGCCAGTGATGAAGTGGCAGGACAGCTGAAAGAGTATAAAAATAACCGGAGAAATCAAGGGATGTGACTGAATCCTTTCTGTGTTTGCTGTCATGAGATGTTTGGATGAATGGCACACTAAAGGAAGCTTACACAGCCCAGAGGACATATTGAATTCCAGAGGGAGTAAATTCACTCTCCTAGGGGAGAATATGACTTCTGAAACTCTTTTTTTGAGGGGGGGGGGCGGGAGAGGTAAATCCCCAAAAGATTTTAAAAGAAGATGGAGCTTTGCAGTAAAATAAATTGGCAGGTTAATTGTTCAAATGCCAAATGAAAAACATGAGAATGGATATGCTAATTTCTCCAACGGAACTGTGTTTTTTAACCTTAGTTTTCAATATAACCTAGTGCAGGGATAGGCAACCTTGGCTCTTTTATGACTCATGACTTCAACTCCCAGAATTCCTGAGCCAGCCATACTGGCTCAGGAATTCTGGGAGTTGAAGTCCACGAGTTATAAAAGAGCCAAGGTTGCCTACCCCTGGCCTAGTGGAATATAGGTAGTCCTCAACTTACAACTGCAATTGAGCCCAAAATTTATGTTATGCTAAGCGAGAGATTTGTTCAATGAGTTTTCCCCCATTTTACGACCTTTCTTGCCACAGTTGTTAAGTGGATCACTGTAGTTGTTAAATTGGTAACACGGTTGTAAAGTGAATCTGGCTTCCCCATTGACTTTGGTTGCCAGAAGGTCACAAAAAGTGACCCCATGACCCCGGGGACGCTGCCACTGTCATAAATATGAGTCAGTTGCCAAGCATTTAAATGTTGATCATGTGACCATGGCAATGCTGCAACTTTCACAAGTGTGAAAAATGGTCATAAGTCCCTTTTTTTCAGTGCAGTTGTAACTTTGAACAGTCACTAAATGAACTGATATAAGTCGAGGACTACTTTTAATTTTCAGAGGACAAGAGGAAACTGAGATAAATGTCAGCCTCCTAACTTCATTTTTATTTTGTCCTACAATTGTGGAGCAGTAGCCTAGCAGGCAATGTGATGTAATAGTTGCTGGAGTAGAACAGTAGAAAATTCATATTTTTTTTCTTCCCCAGCTTGAGAATAAACATTTCAATACACCTGCTTATATAGCCCCCACCTCCATCCCTAATTGGCTATCAGCTATGTGATGCAGCAGTCAAGTTAAACTTCTACATGGGATGTCAATGAACTTGGAGGACTTTGCGGCTACTGACCTATAGGTAAATAATTGTGGACAACGTGGAGGCTTAATTTCTGATCACTAAGTTGCTATGCAAAAGTTGGTGGGCATTGAAAATGTACAGATGCATTATTGGCTAATGTGAAGGCATTGGAATATTTGATACATATTTCTTTTTGTTTTTCAAAACCTCATTTGGTGAGTATTTTTTTTTTACTATTTTAGATTTAGGGAAAAATAATGTTAAAAATAGCACACCTTGAACAAGCTGAAGGAAATTGTTTTAAAATTATTGTGACCAGATTCTTATACTCTTACTGTAATTTGAAGGTGCTTGCTCCATTAATAGTATAAAGTTCAACTTTAAAAAAAAAAAGTATGATTTTTTTGGGGTTTGGATTAATACAGGAACATACAGTAAGGTATAAGAATGGAATTACAATATTTAGTTTTGTATTGAAAAGCCATTGACCTCTCCATTTTAGACAATATTAAAACAGAATTATATATGATGTAGGAAACTGAGGATCTGATTTTTGATATTTTAGATATATGTATGTGCTTAAGGGTGAGGGTCTGAATTAAATGGAGAGGTTGAGAGGTTAATTAAACTTCTAATGTGCTACCATTTGTTGTTGATTGGTTCTTATCATCAGTTGCCACTTTATATTTTTATATTGTTGTTTATTCTGTATTTGGAATTGTTATGTTGAATTAACTGCTCAGAACTGCTTTTGTGAGATGGGCAGCCATATAAATTGAATAAATACATAAATAAACAAGACAGATTGGGTGGTGAAGATCCCCTTGCATTATTTCCCACATCTAACCCATCCTTTTATGTTCATTCCTGAAAGGGAAAATAAGTCATAATCTTCACAGTGAGATATTTTAAAGAAATCAATGTAGTGTCTTGGATACTGCATTTCTATTATTATGTTATTATAAATTTCAAGAGCCCAAGGAATAACAGTTCAGACCAAAGCATCAAGCACATTTATTTGACAATTTAAATGGTTCTTTTGTCATGTTTACATTCAATGTATGTAAGTATGTGTGTGTGTGTGTATGTGTGTGTATACACACATATGCAGTGAAAACATTCCCACTGCTTATCTTGTTCTGAGTTCATACATTATACATACTGAGGTTTATATCTCTGTTGGATTTATTACATGCTATGAGGTTGGTGTCAACTTTTAGAGATTATGCAGACAGAACTTGTCCAGGACAATAATTTATCAACCTGGCCCTTCAGATCTTTCAACATTACACCCATTGTTGTGGGACTCAAATCCAACTATCTTGCTGTTGGTCATCATCTTTCTTTCTATCTACTTTTTGCAACATTACGGATTGGCAAAGAGAGGCAGGTCTTTGCATAATGTGTCCAAAATATGATGATAAAAAGAAGACCGCTTGCATTAAATGCCATGATGGTGAGTGGGAATAAGGGAATTGGCTTTAGGATTTGATAGATCAGAGCACCATTCATTGCCCTAATCATAGTGTCTTGAATAAGATGTGAGAATGTGTCAGGCATACATTCACATCAGTCAACATGTTGTTTCAGTGTTACTGATCCCTTGTCCTGACTGGCTGTGCCACTCTGTCACGCTATGTTGACTCAATTAACTTTGATTGATCTATTGTTTTTTAATGTATCAACAGTGCTGATGGACTGACTTGCTTGTTTTGGCTCCCATCCATGGCCTTCCCTTCCCGACATATTTCTCTATTCATTTATTTTGCTTTAAACACAGGGTTCTTTCCCCACTGTATTATGTAGCCTTCTCTCATTCATGCACTAGATCCCTCCAGCAGCGTCCACAGAATCCTGCTATTTGTGACAGAGTGACTGAAACAGGGCTATCCCTTTCTGTTGCAAACCCCACCAACTTCTGGGTGTGCATGAAACTTCATGATGCATCTAGAAAACAGGCAGGGTGTGTATCAATATACCATGATGCCATTTTCATCGATTTGACTTCCTTGTCTCTCCTGTGGACATCATTGTAGCCTTCCCTCTTTTTGTTCATTCTTTTAAACAGCTTCTAGTTTGTTTTTAAAGTTGACATTGTTGCTAGTGTACGTTGTTACCATAGGTCAGTATGTATGCCTTCTGAGGTGTATTAGGCAGCATCGCACACTTCTTTTGGTTCCCTTGCCAGGCCAGCATCCAGTAAGAGGCTGAGCAATGGAGGCAGCTTATGTATGTCCCAATTTGCTAGATGCCAGTCATTCCTATCTGAATACTGTTCTCTGTCTTAGGTTCCCTTTGTCCAGAGATAGTCAAAATGGGGCTTTAGAAATAAAACTTGGATTTAAGCAAGATCTTCTTTTCAGCCAGCAGGTATGTTGTGACTGAGCAAGTACAACCCAATCACTGTGATATTGCTTTATTTCACTGCACAGTTTCTACATGGATAAGCTGTAGCAAATCATGGAAATAGAAAGGGTTCCAGGTAGACAAGTGTGGATTCAAGGATGGCCTGTAGGGAAGCATCTTCAATTCTAAGGCCTCCATCTATTATTCTTTTCCCAGTTCTTAGAAGCCGTTTTGAGTTCTTGAGTTGTCTCTTGCAAGACTCATTTAAACCTGTTTAAAAAAATAAGAAGAAAAAGCATGAAACACATTGGAAAAAATTGAGGGCACTGCATTATCTTCTGTTGTCTAACTGATTGAGGTTTTGTTATCAGCAATTGGACTCATTTGTGTGTTAAACATTTAAGGGGAATTGGTATATTTCTGAAAGGACTGGAGTCTTAGTGGACAATCACTTGATTATGAGCTAGCAGTGTGCATCAGTAGCCAAAAAAGCTAATACAATCCTGGGTTGCATAAACAGAGGCATAGAATCAAGATCACGCAAAGTATTAGTACCGCTTTATAAAACCCTAGTGAGACCACACCTGGAATACTGCAACCAATTTTGGTCACCATGCTACAAAAAGAAGTTGAGACTTTGAAAAAAGTTCAGAGAAGAGCAACTAAAATGATCAAGGGCCTGGAGATTAAAACGGCTGCAGGACTTGGGTTTGGCTAGTCTAAAGAAGAAACAGGGGTGACATGATAGCAGTATTCCAGTATTTGAGGGGTTGCTAACAAAGAAGAGGCCATCAAACTATTCTCCAAAGCACCAGAGGACAGGGCAAGAAACAATGGTTGGAAACTGACCAAAGAGAGAAGCAACCTGGAATTAAGGAGAAACTTCCTAACAGTGAGGACAATTAACCAGTGGAACAGCTTGCCTTCAGAAATCATAGGTGCTCCATCACTGGAGGTTTTTAAGAAGAGACTGAAATGGTATAAGTTCTCCTGCTTGAGAAGGGGGCTGGATTAGAAGACCTCCAAGTTCCAGTTCTATTCTATTCTATTCTATTCTATTCTATTCTATTCTATTCTATTCTATTCTAGTCTAGTCTAGTCTAGTCTAGTCTAGTCTAGTCTAGTCTAGTCTAGTCTAGTCTAGTCTATGATTAAAAAGAAACTCAAATAACATAGAAATGGCAAAAATGGAGAGGAGGGGGTTAAAAAAATAACATAACTTTGCAATAATATAGCTTTTTGGTAATCAGTATGGAACTGACATTCTATGTCAATTCCATACTCTGGTTCCATACTCTGTTTTTTCATTGTATAAAAAACATTGTAAATGTATCTATTGGGCAATGAAGGGCTGGCTGGACATATGTAGGAAAGCCAAGCCATAGGAATGTCTTAGTCAAATGAAGAATACAAAGGATTATTCGATAATCCTTTATTGGATTATTGAAAATAAGGTAGAAGCCTTCTGAACAAATGCTTGTAGAATCTGTAGCTTAAAAACAGAAATTAGTATTTTGGGAGGCCTGAGACTATTCCAGCTGGACTCAAATTAGGGATTTTACTCCATCTTGGGTGAAATTTGAGTCACTATTACCAAAAGAGAGGACCAGAATAGTTCCAGTGTAACACTGTTAGGAGGGACAATATTTTCAACAATAATCTGCTAGAGAAATTATATCCATTGAGCCTACTTAAAATTATAAAAACTTTTTTTAAAAGAAAGGAGAAGTGGCTTAAGGTCCTATGACTGGGATACTAAGATATATTCTCCTTGCCAAATGGAAACTGTAGGTAACGTCTCTTGAAGGGTGATGACTCTCTCTTGAAGGGTGATGACTGTTAGGGGAGGATAAAATTATTTTGTTTCCAATTGAAACTGTATCATCATTTTAAGAGTGGGAGGATAAGCAGAAAGCCTTTGGGACACAAATTATTCTTGTTTTCCACCTTGAAAAAGTTTCCCATGTCACGAAATCAGCTCTTTTGCAGCCAGATTTCAAGAGCACTATCTTGGAATGCTGGGAGTTTTACTCCTCTTTGCACAATGTGTCTCCCACCAAACACTGCAATCTCCAGTTTTCCTTGAAATTGCACACATTGGAAATCATAAATCATTCCAGTGTGCTCTGTTTTTCCAAATCATACTCCAGAAATTGAAGAATTAATTTGATCAGCCTGCTTTGAGAGCTCTGCTTTGGACAGTCTCCAAGGCATTCCTTCACTTGTTTTGAAAAGCTAAGCCTCTAGAAAGCCAATTTTATGGGATAAAGAACAAGCCTCCACTTTTCTTTCTAGCTGAATAATCCAGCAGTTGAATAAACCAAGCATGTCGAGGGACTCTGGAATACTGGCTGAAAAAGTGGAACAGCTTGCCCTCAGAAATCGTGGGCACTCCATCACTGGAGGTTTTTAAGAAGAGACTGGACAGACATTTGTCTGAGATGGTATAGGTTCTCCTGCTTGAGCAAGGGATTGGACTAGAAGACCTCCAAGGTCCCCTCCAGCTCTATTCTATTCAAAGAAAAAGGAGAACCAGCAAAAACAGAATGGAAACCAGTCTTTAAATTTGGATTGAGTCTTACTCTAATTAGCATCTGCTCTCAGAGACAGAGGTGCTTTCTCTTGCCAAAACAGTTTTACAGAAAAACAAACAAACAAACAAACAAACAAAACGTCAGCATCAGGACAGGGTGACCTATAGAATGGAGCTGATAGGAACACCTTGGACAAAAAGATGGTCAGTTCACCTGTTTAACAAAGCCCTTGTGTCGCGTTGGGTTGATTTAATACAACATCTGGCATTTGTATTGTGGGTAAATCTTACCACTGTGCATAAAACAGGCCGGTCCTAAAATACAAAGTGTTATGTCCTGAGCCTGTGAAGGCAGGCTTGGGGCATTGCAACGGTCCCGGGCAGGTGCAAGCTGCCCGGGACCAGACTGGCTGTCGCCAGCACTTGCGCGCATGCGCGAGTGCAAGCGCGCCAAAATGTTGCAGTTTGGCCCGGGAATCGCCTATAAAAAGGGCAGGGAGATTTGGGCGTTTTCGGCGTCTTGTAACCAGTATGCTGAACAGAAATAAAGAGGTTCCTGAGAACTACAACTGCTTCTCGTGTCATTGCCATTTCGCGAAGGACTTAACACAAAGTAAATAGCAGGGAAAAATAGGATATTATAGCAATATGTTGGTGAACTATTGGTTCAATTCTATTAAGGCAGGGATAGGTAACTTGGTCTGTTCCAGATGTTTTGAATTATAGTTCCCATGAACCTGGTCATGATGACAAACAGCAAGGGTTTGTGGGAGTTGTAATAATAATAATAATTATTATTTAATAAATAAATGGCTGACATGGCAGTAAGAAACCTATTAGGGTTACTCAAGCTGGCAGGAATAGCCAACACTCCAGAAGATAGGCTTAAGATACAGGAGGATCTGAACAAACTGGAATACTGGGTGCTATCTAACAAAATGAAAGTCACGCTGAAAAAAGTAAAGTTCTACATTTAGGCAAGAAAAACCAAATGTACAGGTATAGTATAGGGGGTACCTTGCTCAATAGTAGCAACTGTGAGAGGGATCTCGGAGTCCTAGTGGACAATCACTTAAATATGAGCCAGCAGTGTGCTGCAGCTGCCAAAAAAGCCAACACAGTGCTAGGCTGCATTAACAGAGGGATAGAATCAAGGTCACGTGAAGTATCAATACCACTTTACAATGTGGTAAGGCCACACTTGGAATACTGCATACAGTTTTGTTATCACAATGTAAAAAAGATGTTGAGACTCTAGAAAGAGTATAGAGAAGAGCAACAAAGATGATTAGGGGACTGGAGGCTAAAATATATAAGGAATGGTTGCTGGAATTGGGTATGTCTAGTTTAATGAAGAGAAGGACGAGGGGTGACATGATAGCAGTGTTCCAATATCTCAGGGGTTGCCACAAAGAAGAGGGAGTCAAGCTATTCTCCAAAGCACCTGAAGGCAGGACAAGAAGCAACGGATGGAAACTGAACAAGGAGAGAAGCAACCTAGAACCAAGGAGAAACTTCCAGACCGTTAGAACAATTAACCAGTGGAACAACCTGCCTCCAGAAGCAGTGAATGCTCCAAAATGGGAAGTTTTTAAGAAGAGACTGGACAGCCATTTATCTGTAATGGTATAGGGTTTCCTGCCTGAACAGGGGGTTGGACTAAATGACCTCCAAGGTCCCTTCCAACATTATTATTATTATTAAGATCATTATATGGTTTGATGTTAGCCCACAACAGAATCACAATTGAGGGTGAAGGTTTGTTTTCCGTGCTTGTGGAATCACAATTTATTGGATTTTTTTTAGGAATTGAAAGGAGTGGATCATGCCTGAACCAGTTACTTTATGCAGTATTAAGAGAATTGGAGAAGACAATTTGGCCTTTGAATCAAATGAGTCACGTAAGCATTTGTACTTGGAATACTTCTTGACTTCATAGATTAAATTAGTAAACATAATTTGTTCATATCATTACTTGGTCATGGTTTATTATGTGGTCATTTTTTAATTATAAAAAACTGATCCACTAATTTTACTAAAACCTAAAAAAAAAACCTCTCAGTAGCTTTTTAAAGTTGTGTCTTCTCCCAAAAGGGCAATTCCATGTCTTGCATGAAAAGTCCATGCCTTTTGAAGCATATTTTCCCCTTTAAATCCAAAGTCTTGCACATTTTCATATATTCACATAAATGTATACATGTAAATTGCAGTAGCCATTTAATTGCTGTGCAGAATATATTCAGTGACATGGAGTATAATGACTGATTTTTTTTAAAAGTGCCATTATCTTTATCAAACATCTAGCCTTAAAGGTGCGAGTATTATCTTTAAAGCTCTTAATGAGTTGGAATCCAGCTATTCATTATCTACCTGCTTGGTTACCTTGGGAGAGTTTCTGATGATGTTGTGGTAACACGGGTGCAGGGGAATGAAGCTCCGTTCCCCAAGCCCGATTTCTACCAGCTGGGGGGGTCCAATAGGACCAAAAGTCTCCCTGTAAAGGTGACTGACCAAAGGGTGAAACTTCGTAGCTGACCCACTTGATCCAAAGTAGCCCTTGAAACCGGCAGGAAGAAAGGCTGACCGCACCCATGCAGTCAGAAAAGGCCTTTTTGAGGACTCTCATCTCTACCGCCAAAACCCTTCCTGCCTGTTATACTAGAAGGGGCCTTCTCCTGAGAAGTTCTCAGGTGGAAGGACACACTCCCTGGGAAGCTGTGTTTGGCCCAATATCCAGGAAGATAGAAAAAAGACATCTCTTCTACCAAACTTTTAATAGTTAATGCATTTTAACATTTAATTTCAACTCCAATTTTAACTGTATTAATGTTCTCATTTTTTTCTACTCACTGTTAAGTCAGCATGATTATTTTTTTAAAAAATGCAGAAAAGCAGAGTGGAAATCTAAAATTTAAAATGAATGCTTTATAAAATGGGCAGAGTTAGATGTTTGAGTAGGTAATGGCAAGATAACTGAAAGCATAAGGGGTGTGAGGAGGTGTCAGGCAAGGATTTTTGAATTAGTTAAATGTAGAAAACTAGTTTTCCTCCTATTTCAAAAGTGCTTGTTCAAAAGGCAACTGGGCTGTTTTTTTTTCCTTGAGCAAGAAATAGTTTTCCTCCTACTTGAGGAAGAAAAAGTAGTTTTCCTCCTACTTCTCTTAAAAAGACAAAGATCAAAACTAAAATCTTTGTTATTCTTCATCATGCATAAGGAACCAGTTTAGAGAAACAGAACCAAAACTGAAGATGTTTCAGTTTGGTCTATTTTGAATTTCTATAAAAGTTATGAACTCAAAGTCAGCGGAATCCTTAATCAAGCATTGCATTGCGTAATTAAAACATCAATGTAGTGAAAAAAGGAAAAAGCAAATATATGGATATAGCAATTGGTAGGAGGAAGAAAAATATCTTGCTAAAGATTTAACTTTCACATTAACTCCCATGTGTTTTTTTTTTCAACAGATAATGACATCAGCAAAGCAAAGTAAGTCAGACCTCTAGAAGTGAGGCCTGTAAAATATGTTGGATGTGGAGCTTCTGTTCTTCCAGATGGCATCTACTCTGGCTATTTCTTAGGACTCCCCAGCTCATTTTCTCTGCCTCCCCTCCCTTCTTATCCCCTCATTACATCCCCTGGTTGCTGAGCACGCTCACCTCTCAACATTTTTATTCTAAGCTATTTTGCTCTCTCTGCCGGACTCTTGGCTCTTCTGAGCATACTGGGTTCCACACCTTGTGAGGAATTCAGTGAGGCATTTTGTGGAATGCAAAGGGCCTATTCTAGTACTTCCCTTAGCTAGAAATGGCCTATTCTAGTACTTCCCTTAGCTAGAAATGGCCTATTCTAGTACTTCCGTTAGCTAGAAATACCCTTCTATATGTGTATGTCCTTGCTTCAATCCACTGTCTCCAATGAAGCAGCTATTCTGCTCTGCTGTTTAAAAGCAGGAGCCCTGTTGCTCAGCTTTAAAGGGGTGCTTTGACTGAAACTTCACCAAAGCAAAGTATCCTTTTAGAGATTTATACAACCCCTCACTTCTTTCCCACTCCTGCCGGTTTTTCTACTGTGCTCAACTTCCATCAATAATCAGCATGCCATGTATGCTAAGCCTGGTTCTGAATACCACTCTCTTTTGAAAAAAAACATACCGAAACAAGCTTTTGATTAAATGTAAAGCTTGTTCTGAATAAAACCCACCTTGTTTTTATATTTCACGGCTTTTCAAATAGTTCTCTTAAAGATAATACTCTTATTGAAATCTAACACATACAAAAAACTGCAGACTATATTTGGAAGAATATTATTGGTGGGATGGACTCTGAACAGAACTGGACAGTTAATCTTGCTCCCAGTGATAAAAATGTATTGCTTTTTGCAGGAGTTTTGGTGGGAAAAATGAAGCCTCTTCAAAGAACAATGCAAAAGCAGACAAGTAAGATAAATGTTCTTCTTGTCTAGTAGTGCATTTGTTGATTTCATTCATTCCATTAAGCTTTTTGGGGGGAGGAGGCAGGATGGAATAATACCAAGAGAATAAAACATTTTTATATGGTAATGCAAAAAAAAATTAAATAGTCCTCAATATAGATGCCTGAACAGGTTGGCTTCTGCTTAAAATATCAACCAGTTCTTAAAAAATACTCTTATCTTTTGAATTATAGCCTTTGGACTAATTATCTACCACATTTTCCTCTTTCCCTGGAAACAGTTGCCTGTGTGTCCTTATGTAACCAGTACGTCAATCATTTCCCTTATCTACTTCAGGATGAGGCTTACAAAATCAAAATCAGAAGACCTCTTTGTTAGCTCACTGAGTCCAATCATTGGTTTCGTGTGCAAAAGCCAGAACAATAGCTTGAGCAAACAAGAGTACCCTCCTCTGAATAATTGTTCATTTCCTAAAGTGCTCTTATCATCAAGAAGTTTCTTCCAATATACAAAATCTGTCCTCCTGTAACTTAAAAATCTAGTCCTGCAGAAAAATCACAGTGTCCTTTTCTATAAAATAGTTTTCCAGAACTCAAAGAGTGCTATCATGTCCCTCCTCAGACTTTTTCCCCCAGATCCTTATTAGAACTTGTCTTCTATTCCTATTCCGTTGTCTTCTTCTGACCCAGTTCTAGTCTGTATTCAGGTTTTTTTTAAAATACCTGGAGTCCAGATTTAGCATATTAGATACTGTCTACTTTTGATATAACGTGGGACAATTATTCCCCACAATTTGGAAATCAAGGCTATACTAATGCTTCCTAAAGTTCTAGTATTTATCTAGCTCTTTCAAATTTGCTCAAATGCAAGGCAATCACTAGGGTTGGCAATAAGTCCCTGGAGCAGCTAATATGGGCAAAGTTCTAAAAGTAAGGAAGCTGAATAAGAATGAAAAGATATGAATTGGTGATGTCAGTTGTGAGCTACTGATTCAACCTTTTCAGAAAATACAAACTAATCTCTTCAGATTTCCCCAATCTGTTGTTTGTTTCCCAATTATCTGATACTGCAACTCCCATAATTGCCAGCCTATGCAGCCATTAGCAAAATTCCCCTTTGTTTTTAACGTGCATCAACAAAGTACTTCCTTCTAAGAAGTTACAGATATCAGACTAAGCGTGTTTGTAACACTTTCATATATTGCTGCAAATGGTTGATTGTTCCATCAATTAACTGATGAGATCTGGGCACCTGTGAAAACTGAATCTGTACAACGATGCTTAGGCATTTTATTTATGAAGCATATTTCGATGCTGCTGCAATCAAAATGACTTTCAGCAGATTACAAAAAAAAGATAGATTTAGAATGTGCACAGTGCAACATAATACAATAAGCACATGATAGTACATAAAACTAAAGATAACAATGTCAGTCTTAACTCAGGGAACAGCTCTCTGGAACAGTTCAGGCTTTAAAATTTCCTAAAAAGCAGTAGAGAGGGTCTCTCATCTTCATGGGAAAGCCATTTCACAACAGAAATGGCCTCCATCAGGACTGCAACAGAAAAACAGCACCTCCTATCTAACCTTATAACATTTGTGAGGCTGTACTTTATATATATATTTTCTGAGGTTTTCGCGGGTGTGTGTATGTAGGTCTTTGGTTGTTCGGGTTTTCTCCCGCGTAAAATTGGAAGTGTCTTGGCGACGTTTCGACGAAGTCCCATTCGTCATCTTCTGGCTGGTGTTTTCAGCTTTGTGCTTCGAGGAGCAATGTGTGGTCTTAGCTGTTTCTTCCTTTTAACTGCCAGTGGGGGTATGAACTGATTGGGTGGGAGCTTGGCTGTGTTCTGATTGGGTGGAGGTGTGTTCTGATTGGTTAGGGGCTTGGCTGTGCTCTGATTGGCTGGGGGGTTGACTGTGCTCTGATTGGCTGGGGGGTTGGCTGTGCTCTGATTGGCTGGGGGAGTGTTCTGTTTGGTTGTGCTCAGGTTAGTCTGAGTTGCAGGGGCGTTTAAGATTTTGGGCTGCCTTGCTATTTTTTGGCTTCGCGTTCGTGGTCGTGCCTCATCTTCATGGAGGGTGTCAGTTTGCTTCATGTATGGATTGGAGGGGTTTAAAGTGGCTAATGATGCAGCTGTGGTCCGGCTTCTGGTTTGTGGTTGTGCCTCATCATCGGTGTGGCTTTGGGTTTGCTTTTTGCAAACACACACAAACCGCTATCTGCACACTCTCTCACACCACCACCCAGCACAGATCAACTCCGTACCCAAGACACTCATCTCCAGAACAAAACGCATAGCTGACGAACAACACCTAAAAACCGAACTACACACTCTCACCAATGTACTAACATCCAATGGATTCCAAAGAAATAAGATTACAAACCTAATCCAAAAAGAAACCCCCACTAAAATCCAAGACAAAGAACAAGAAAACGGCAAAGCCCTCCTCCCATACATAAAAGGCACCACAGACAGAATCAGTAAGATCCTCCATAAACACAACATCAAAACAGCATTCTGCACAAACAGAAAAATATCCACCATCCTTAGAAACCCCAAAGATAAAATTGAATTAGAAAATCAAGGAGTATACGAAATCCCATGCACCACTTGTCCCACCACATACATCGGACAAACCAACAGAAGAATAAGTGCACGCATTGAAGAACATAAGAACTCAGTCAAAAAGAGGAACCAACATCTTCCCTGGTCCAACACCTTAAAGCCACAGGACATGAAATTGACTTTAAAAATACCAGAACCATTGCCAAAAGTGAACATTTTAATAACAGAATAATCAGAGAAGCCATCGGGATAGAAAAACGCCCACACAGCATGAACAAGCGAGATGATACCTCCCACCTACCAGCCATTTGGAAACCCACCCTTATTGACAAACGACTCCCTAACACAAAAAATGATACCAGACACACTCACAAAAACCACACAGGATGTCACCACCACACATCCATGCAAAAAGCAAACCCAAAGCCACAAATAGCAAGGCAGCCCAAAATCTTAAACGCCCCTGCAACTCAGACTAACCTGAGCACAACCAAACAGAACACTCCCCCAGCCAATCAGAGCACAGCCAACCCCCCAGCCAATCAGAGCACAGCCAACCCCCAGCCAATCAGAGCACAGCCAAGCCCCTAACCAATCAGAACACACCTCCACCCAATCAGAACACAGCCAAGCTCCCACCCAATCAGTTCATACCCCCACTGGCAGTTAAAAGGAAGAAACAGCTAAGACCACACATTGCTCCTCGAAGCACGAAGCTGAAAACACCAGCCTGAAGATGACGAATGGGACTTCGTCGAAACGTCACCAAGACACTTCCAATTTTACGCGGGAGAAAACCCGAACAACCAAAGACCTACATATGTGTGTGTGTGTGTGTGTGTGTGTGTGTAGGTCTTTGGTTATTTGGGTTTTCTCCCAAGTAAAATTGGAAGTGTCTTGGCGACGTTTCGACGAAGTCTCATTCGTCATCTTCAGGCTGGTGCTTTCGGCTTCGTGCTTCTAGGAGAAGAGTATACTCCAGTTATTTATTGTTAAAACAACATTTAAAACAATAAATGTTTTATATATTATATATTATAAAATTTGGATTGCTAACAAAGAATTAAGGGAGAATGGGATAGCTATTTCGAGTTTCTTAACTCTCTTCAGCCAAACTTACCCTTCTGAGATTTGAGCCTGGGCTATGTGCATGTTAGGCAGCTGTATTAACCTCTAGGCCACAGGCTCCTTCTCACTTTGTCAGCTGTATCAGGGAGGGAAGAGACAGGGGGAGGAGATTTACCTTGAGTGTTTCTTGATGCACCCTGTCGACCAAAATATGGGAGAAAGAAATCTTCTTTCTTTTTCTTTTTTCTTTTTTTTTCTTTTGCTATATATATAACTATCTTCTGTGGGCTATAAGATATGAAGCAAAAAAGCAGGGAGCTTCTCCAACTCCTAGAAATATTTTATCTGCTGGATTGATTTGAAGGGGGTCATCTGTGAGGCAAATCTGCTAGTAGGAAGATGCTGTCTTCCATCTTGGGATGTTTGAAGGAGGTCCTGGAAGATCTACTAGAAGGAGAGAAGCTACATGTATAATGCCCCATGTTTTTCTTTCTTTGAAGGATACCACACAAGAAAAAAGATGGCATTCGAATTGGATTCTTTCAGCTGGTAATAGCATACCTGCTTTTCATTATTTTGTCCAGGCAATCTCTGACAATCAGATACAATTGAACAGAAAGATACGTGTATGCATGTATGCACATTCTGCACATTCTGTTAAGACTGTGTATCTAACCTGCATTCCTGTATCATCAGTTGTGAACTATGGTATCAAATCAAGGGGGTGGGGGAAGAGAAGGGAACAGTTGTTCACTTACTGAAAGCTCAATGTTTACAGACTGAAGCCAGATGCAAAATGGCTGAACAGAAGTTCAGCCTGGAAAGTGGCTTTCAGAATCAAGTGTGAAGTCCCGGTCATTTCACTACACAAAATCAAGCCTTTTTTCTTCCCTAGATATTCTACCGGTAGTCCTCATTTAACAACTGCCTCCTTTAGCAACTCTTCACAGTTAGAACAGTGATGAAAAAGTAACTTTGCAATCAATGTTCACATTTACAATCTTCACAGGTCTCTAAAGCAAAAGAAATCTGAAGATTGTAAGCACAGTTGTGATTTCACTTAACAACCACTTTGCTTAATGACCATGTTGCTGGACCCAGTTGTGGTAACTAAATGAGAATTATCTTTACAGTTATCTGTGCTGGAGGATTTAATTGAGAAGGTCCTCTGTTACTAGCTGAAGTTAGGAAGAGGAAGAGGGACATGAAAGAATGCAATGCTATGCCATTAATAAAAATAATGGACTAGTAATATAAAAGCAAATGATGTGAAAACTACTGATGAACAAACCCTGCTTCTTATTCTTTATAGTTCAGGTTTGCTTCTTCGGCTGAGATACTGATGATGCTTTTGGGAAGTATCTGTGCCATTCTTCATGGAGCAGCCCAGCCAGCCATGCTGATTGTTTTTGGGATCATGACAGACACATTTATTCAATATGACATTGAAAAACAAGAGCTGGAAGACCCAAACAAAGTGTGCATGAATAACACAATAGTTTGGATTAACAACTCTCACCATCAGAATGTCAGTAACACATCAATAAGTTGTGGGTGAGTGAGCACAAAACATTTTCAATTTTATCAAATGGCATTGGCTCAGTTCTTTGGGAGTTAATCCAGTGGGTTATCTAAATCAGCAAACGATTGGCCTATTTTGGCAGATAATTATTCCATTAAACTGAGTGCTGGATTTGCAGCCTCTGTTATTAGAGAAGTTAATGTATTAAAAATGATAGTGTCTGACCACATTCCACCTCATTTAGGTTTCAAACATATCTTGATACTTCCCCAAAGATAGGAGATATTGCAGCATACTCAAGAGTTGATAAGCGCTTGTGTTAATAATCTACTGCCATCTACACAGGCGCTAAAACTTAGAAGAACTATCGACTTTAACAGATTTCAAAATGTTGCATTGTGCAATCACTTTTTTTTCCCAAGATTTTGTGATTATCCTGAAATAAAGAGGAAAATCTACGTTGTTCTGTCACCTTTTCCCCTCCCTTCAGTTTCTATTATCTTGCAGGGGAACCAAGACTAATACATCTAGTGCATTAAGCTTCTGAGTCTATCTTTTTAGGCTTCAAATTCTAAAGCCAGAGTGTAGAAACTGATCATCGCAGAACACTTGGGTCAAGATCCAAAAAACAGACTAAATGTGAGGTGCACTTTGTAATACAAAACTTCAGTGGTGTAATTGAACCATCACATCAAAGCAGTTTGCAAACCAAAGGGTGGCTTTGCAGATTTCTATGCTGCTGTGGTTGTTATAGAAGCTATGCATGTTGCAATTTCAATTCCATAAGTGGAGAAGCTGAGGAAGGATTGACTAGTAGAATCTAGATTTCTTCTGTGTTGTGGCCACCACAGGTCTTCACTTTCCTTTTGTTTGTGTGGATCAGATGTCAGAGTGGTCCTGCTTGTTCTGTCCAATTAGCTGTTGGCACTCTGCATATGGGCTCAAGACTGATTAGTACATATTTTGTCCACAACTGTGAAATCAAAACCTTGCCCCTTTTTAATGGGTTCGTTACAAATGCAAAAGAAAAGACGGGGCTTCAATTATGCCTAATGTCTTGGGTTTTTTTTCATCCACTCCCTGTGGATGCCCCTGTTTTTAGATCAGATTTTCAGTAGGGCAGTTTCAGTCTTTGGAAACTGAAAGAATAGCAAGCTAAAACTGAACAGGTTTGCCCTGGAATCTTTTATTGCAAATTTAAATGAAAACACAGCATTTTTTGAATCTCTGATCTTCCATGTGAACTGAATTAAGCTGATTTGCATGGAGCTACAGTAGTCAAGATGGGGTGTTAGGAGAAGACTTGTTCCCTCTCTACAAGTATTGAAGAATGGAAAATCATTTGGTTGATTTGTTGTCTGAGATAATAGCTGAGAAGTCAAGGTGGGGTTTGGGGAGAAAAAGTTTTTGATTTCTGTCTGTTTTCTGTTTTTCTTTCTATAAAGACCCATGGATTACATTCGAATTGGTCCCAAGAGTTGACTTTAGTTTTGCTCTGAGAAAAAGCAGATGCGTGTGATATTTTCATCCTAATTTCCCCAAAAATAAGATTGAAGTAGCTTCAGGCAGTTCAGTCCTCCCTATTTTAGCCTAGGAACCTCTCTGCATTTTGTCAAATTCAAGTAACTTGAACTGGAATTGGAATCTCTCTGAATTGCAATTATGGAAAGTTTCATTCAGAGTTTTGATTGCAGTCAAATCTTGAGTCATTCTCATACATTTAATCAGAGTGAGGTTTTGTTAACCTCCCCTATGTGCAAATGCTCATTTGCATATACAGGAGGAAGAGGAAGAGGTTGCTGGGAAGATGCTTTGGTTCCTCTTGCCTGAAAAAAGAACTGGAAAAATATGAAGGTGGAATTTTTAAAGAAAATTCTTATTTTTTTCCCATCATGTCTCTTGTAGAATGGCAAGGAATATACCTGGAGCTCTATAGCAATAGCAATAGTACTTAGACATATATACAGCTTCTCAGTGCTTTACAGCCCTCTCTGAGCAGTTTACAGAGTCAGCATATTGTCCCTAACAATCTGAGTCCTCATTTTACTTACTTGATCCCACCTCAGGATCGAACTGCCCAACTGCTGGCAATCAGCAGAATTAGCCTGCAATACTGCATTCTAACCACTGCACCGCCATGGCTCATTATGCATGTTGTTTCACACATTGGAAAAATGCTACAAGAATTTTTCTATAGCCTGAAAGAATGACTAGGAAGGTATCAAGGCTCACCTCTGGAATACTTGTAGTATTTTTCCCAATGGGTGAAACTACATGCATTAAAAAGGTTCAATGGCAATAGTTTATTATGCAACAAATAAGAAAGTAGATGTTTATGTATAGCTTTATATAATATATGAGCTTAAAAATGCTTTTTCCAGTTTTATTTCTTTTGCATAAGGGTATTCTTTATGCTAAAGTTGTTTGTAGCTTTTGTTTTGATTTTTGGGAAGTATAGTGTTTGGTAAGATTAGATCCTGATGCTTTTGTCATGGTTCCGACAAATGAAACCCTTCAAAAGAACTTCGAGGCATTGTTTTCTTTAAAGAATTTTTTATTCGGGAAACAAAGTATCAGCATTACATAATTGAACCCAAAAACTAAATTCCCCTCCCCTGGATACAAAGTAACAAAGTACAATTCCCACCCCCAATTAACAGTCATAAAGCACATTCCCTAATTAGCGTGAAGCGCAGGCTTTCTACCCAGCTCTCCTGCCCGCCAAAACGTTATCAGGTCTGGACCCAGTTTGTTCTTGGATTCCCACCGAAGAGTTATTATTATTATGACTAACTGAACTCTCATCCCAATCCCCCCTCCCAGAACTAACTAATTCTAACAGCACAGAGAAAATGGCTGCATTTTCATCTGTTGTCAAAGCAAGAACATCCAATGTTAGCAGCGTTGACAGCTTTATTTTATTGTTTTGGGAATAATAAATAAATGTCAGACTTTATATTGGCTTGAAATATAATACAGATAGTCCCCTACTTACAGCCATTCATTTAGTGACCCATTTGAAGTTACAACAGCACTGAAAAAAAGTGACATAACTGTTTATCACACTTATAACTGTTGTAGCATTCCCATCATCACATGATCCAAATGAGGGATGCAAGGCAGCTGGCATGTATTTATGATGGTTGCAGTGTCCTGGGGTCATGTGATTATCTTTTGCGACATGACAAAGTCAATGGGGGAAGCAAGATTCATTTAACAACCATGTTACTAACTTAACTGTAGTAATTCACTTAACAATTGTAGCAAGAAAGGTCATAAAATAGGGCAAAACTCACTCAACAACTATCTTGGGCTCAGTTGCGGTTTTAAGTCAAGGACTACTTGCATTTAGTGAATCAATTTGCTCTGGTAGTTAGAGGCACCAGGCTAGAAACCATAAAACCAATGTAAGTTCTAACCTTGTCTTAGGCATGAAGCTGGCTTCATGGCTATAGCCCAGTCCTTCTCTCTCAGTCCCAGAAATGGTAAACCACTTCCAAAATCTTTTCAAAGAAACTGCAGGGATTTGATTTGACTTGATTTGAGGGCAAGACAGACTTGAAGGATTTTTTTTAAAAAAGCAGCTTCTATATGGAAAAAGGGGCCCACATCTACCATTAAACTAATCCCCAAATATTTGCTGTTCCTGTTGTGAAAATAAGGGGGAAAAGCTAAGATTATTCTGATCAGGCCCCTTTGTTTGTTTCATTCTTTCTCTGATGTTGTCTGGAGCAGCTGAAGCCATTTTGATGCTCTTCTATGGGATTTGTTTACCCTTGAATCACAAACACAAATAGAAACCTGCTGTATTTGGATTTGGGATCTCCAATTGAATCTCCTTGTATTTGCATAGGCTAATGAGTCTGGGGGTTGGGGCAAACTGTTAACCTCCAAATGCAAGTGACTTCCTCCTCCTCCAAATGCAAGTGACCAGCCTATTGCACCTGTTGTAGAATTTGTTAGAACAGTGGTTCTCAACCTGTGGGTCGGGACCCCATCTGGGGTCGAACAACCATTTCACGGGGGTCGCCAAACAACGCAGTCCGCCAATTTTTTCCCCTTTTCCTTAGCTGTGCTACTCCCTTTTATTCTATTGGCTTTTGAAAGCCAATAGAATAGACTCTCTTGAATAGAGTCTAATTCTATTGGCTTTCAAAAGCCAATAGGAATTGTCCAAGCTGTCTCTGCCCTGCTGAGCCCGCCAAAAGTCCCATTCTGCAAACGGTGCTGCAAGTTGTCTGCAGTGAAGGCGAGCTGTCTGGAAGTTTCCACCCCTCCCTGCTGAGCAACTACTAAAAATGTAAGTAAAAGAGGGCCAGGGGTGGGAGGTGGGAGGCCGGCGGGTTCAGGGAGGATTGCTGGCGCGCGTGGGGCTCGGCAGGTGCCTTACCTCCCTTGGGCTGGGCCAGCTGGTGGGGGGAGGTTTAGAAGTATTTCTAGCAGGACTACCCGATTCTGTAATAGCTTTGTTCCCTATGCCATCTGTCTGGCAAACTTGCAAGATACGTTTTTCTCACCATGCACATGTATACAGTACATAACCCAAACTAGTCTGTTGTCTCTCTGTGTCATATAATATATGTGGGTATGTGCATAATTCTGTATTTATTTATTTTTGTCATATTTATGTAGTGTATATTTCATTTTAATGTATGCCGATTAGTGTATATTCAAAGTGACAATAAAGTTATTATGTTATTCTATTCTTCAGAGTTTAATGGTTCAGGGGTTTTTTGAGCACTGTATGCATGGCACTTTTGGCGGCGGGGGGGGGGGGAGGAATTGCCATAACTGTTCCAGAGTTCATTTAAATTTAAGCTTTTTTTTTTAAAGGACTAGCCTTGTCTCTTTTAAATCTTTGATGCATTAATACGCTGTGACTAAAATTATAATAAGTTGCTTAAGTGTGAGTTGCAATAGGGCAAGCCTTATCAGTTGATTGTGAAAGGAAGATCAATGACAATATTACACAAGGTTCTACAGTTTTGTTTTGCTATGTTTGGTAAGAGGGCATGGCTTAACTAGGTCAAGC